TCTTTCTCTTCCTCTAAGTTTTGTAACATACAGGCCAGAAGCCCCAAGGACAAGTAAATCAGGAGAGTCCACTAAAAACAGGCAAACATTGTGCTTTATAACTTAGGAGTTAAAGCACACTCTAAACAAAGAGCCTATGACTAGTTCATCAGATAAGGCTTGTATCTTTCTCCCTGGAATTTAATAGCACTTCTTCTAAAAACAGTTATTGGTCGGCTAGAGCTGAAGTTCCCAGAATTATACAGTTGCTTGATTACAATAAAACATGTATGGAATATAATTCCCAGCTCACTGTACTTTCTTTTTGCTTGAAAAATGGTTTATCGAGTAGACTATCAGCCCTCGAACGAGGTATTTTTAGGACAGACTCAATCCAGCAAGAGGCTTGACTCTTCTCAGCACCCACCTATTCCAGCACCTTACAGGGTCAGGACCAAGTGTGCTCCCTAAGCATTGCACTCCGCAACGCTCTTCGGCTGACATCCTCCACTCCTCTCAGTGGGGTCAAGATTTTACGTTAAGCCTCATTTAACACGGTCTGGCCTAAGTCTAAGCCGCAGTTTTCTCTGCGTTTAACTCATCACCGAACCCGGTGCTGCAACTGTTCTGACATAGTCTTACAGCAGAACCTCCCACGCCACATGGCAAAAGTAGGTTTTACCCCCAAGAGAGGGGGCAAAGAGCCCAAAAGATGACTGGAAGTTTATCCGGCATGATTCATTATTTAACCAACAGAACAAACACGGCCAACGCAACGGCTGGAGCAGCTCCTTGTGACTCCGGCCAACACCCGCTACACCTCGGGGCCCCAGGGAAGAGCCCTTGGTACCAGCAGCACTGCGGGCGCTGGCCTTTCCCTCGGGGACCCCACGGTGCTCCCGAGGATGCCCCGGGGGCGGCTGCGCCTCCGCAGCTCCAGGGGACGGAAAGGCGGCGGTTTCTTTAGAAAGCGAGTACAACCAGCGTCCCGTGAGATACACAGCGTCCCACCGACCACAACAACGTTTTATCCGTGAGGTGAAAAACAAACAAAAACAAAAAGTTGCACCTTGTAAACCCTCATCTTAACTTTCGGCTGCAAACGCCGGGAAAACCCAGCGTTAACCCCCCAAACGAAAGCCCAGCGGAGGTTCCCAGAGGGGCGGGAAGTCCGCGCCCGCCCGGGGACAGCTCCGTCCCGCCGC